GTCGTGGTGGAAGCTCGATTGCATTTTTGTGTTATCGAAATGGATCATTCTTTTCATTTGTCTCTTTTCATTAATGCCAAATGGTATTATCGCGCAAAACGAGACGTTCGAGAATTTCTTCGGACTGGATTCACACGAATCGACCGCGAGTTATAATGCGGAAGAGAACATCGAATCGCTGCCGCACGAGAAGAAGGTAGAAACTCCTCTGGAACTTGAAGATCTCGCTGTGGAGGAGAAAGATTTAACTCCAATAGAGAAAAAAAATAACGAGGAAAATCCGACTCAAATTTTACCGGAAATTGAAAATGTTTTTGCACCGAAAGGTGAGTCCAAGAGTGATTCACCCTTCGTTCAAAGTATTTCTGGTAAAATGGCAAACGAGAAGAATGGAAAATATGTAAGATACGGTAAGTAATTCGTTATCAATGGGTGTGACCATCGTTTCGCAATAAGGAATGTGAGTGAGCGATAATGAGTACGGAATTTATTTGTATCAAATTTTTTCACATGCATTTTTCTTAATATAATGTATTTTTCATAACTTAAAAAAATAATTTAATTCGGCGCACAAGTCTCGCATATTACAGTTTTTTTACTTTGTGTACGACAGAGACAATCTATATCTATAGCTTATCATGGATGTGTATTTATCAGTTACTCACTTTAACATGAATCGAGGATGATTCATTCGATGAGACAAGCCATTTTGATAGATCATGAACTCATATATCTGATCACTGAAATATATATTTTAATGTGATCAAATATCGATTCCAAAATATTGCTAGATATATTATTATAATATATATCGTAATAATACATAAAGAATTTTACGAATATATCGTAGTAATATAAAGAATTATTCTATTTGTTCTATATATATGTATATTACTGTGAAACTTTGAATTTCGGCAAAACTTAAAAGATTTACACCTAAATCCTAAGATTTATTAAGCTACTTTAGTAAAAATCCAAAAACGTTCAAGGACAGTCTTTATTTTGGAGTTTTATTAGTTAATGTTGGTAAATGTTAGGGTCTACCAAGACTTATAGTAAAATTTGAGATTGTTTTATTACGTAAAAAACAAGGAAGTGAAAAAGACTGTTAAGCTAAATATATTTATTTCTCTCTCTAACACACACAATTAAATGAATTGGATAATAATATTAAAGAAAAAACAAAAAAATAATATTAAATATATGAAAGCTTTTTGTCTCAAAAACTATAAAAATCATCTTTTGTAGCGTACTTATCAATATAATAATTACTTCGTTAAATTAATGGAAAGAAAATGTTCTTGTACTTTATAGCTCATTCACTAATCCTCCATATTGGCAGAATTACGCGCTTCCTTAATTGTCTCGACTTTTACTGGAAGTCTTGGTAAATTCTAACATTTGCCAACATTGACTGGTAAAACTTCAAAACAAAGATTGTTTTTGGATTTTTATTAGAGTGGTTTGGTAAATCTTAGAATTTACATGTAAATTCTATGATTAGGTTCCGCCAAAATTCGGGATGTTTTACAGTTATATATTACTATTACTTTTACAGTTATATATATTACTACTAAGAATTATCTTTTCCTCCGGAAAAACTATAAGATATTAAATGCAAGAATATTATTTAGTTGACTTTATAGTTACTTTAATATTATGGTTTTGATCGATCCTTGTTTGATGCACATTTGCAGATTCGAAATTACCTGAGGCTGATAGGTACGCGCCACGTCCAGAGGACAATCCGCCTTTCTATACATTAAAAGAAGACAGGTTAAAGGAGATTCGTTCTGAATTCATGTACTGGTATTTCGATAAAGGTGGCAACAATGATATGGGAGATTACCAAACGCCTTTGCAGGCGACAACGTTGCAAATTCACAAAAATTTGAATTTTCAATTACCTTTCTTTGGCTTCAGATTCAATTATACACGAGTATGATCTCATTTGTTATTTACTTGTATAATTTTTTACAGTATAAACATAATTACTTTTATAATTTATCAGAAGTTACCAATAAATTCCTTTTTATGTAAAATATCCATGTTTCTCTGTTAAATTTGAGAAATCTTAAAATTCATTATTTTGACATTTTAATGGTCTGGATATTTTAATATTTTGAAATCTTTTACTACAAATGAAAAAATTTTTCATCGTTGAAAAAAATTGTTTTTAATATTATGTAACATTTTAGTTAATAGTTAACGGGTACCTGGAATTTAGCGATCCACCGGAGTACTTTACGTATCCTCTCGTTTTTCCGATTAAAGATTGGCCTAGGAAAAATGACCCCAGTTTCATCGGCATCTTCTTCAGTAAATGTCGTATAGGTAGATTGAGAGAAACCGATCTCGATCAGAGGAAACCGGGGGTGTATTTTAGGTATGCGCATGTAATATAAAAATTAGCGTAACGTTCTAAGCATTTTTACGATCTTGCAAGAAAAAGCTTTCGAAAATTAAAGAAACTTATAGAAAATAAATCTTTATCAGACTTGAAAGGGATTTGCAAGGGAGAAATGATCAATTTGGCGTAGAGATGCGAGAGCGTCTCATGTGGGACATACGCGAGGGTGTTGTCGGCGCTGATTCCTTCGTGCCTAAACACGCCCTGATAGCAACCTGGAAGAACATGTCCTTTGCAGGTGGCATCGGCCAATCTCTTTTTACAACTAATACATTTCAATTGGTTTTGGCTACCGATGAAGTATTTACTTACGCTATATTCAATTATCTGAATATACAATGGACCAGTCATACGGAGGCAGGCGGCGATACGACACAAGGCGAAAACGGAGTCCCTGCATACGTAAGTAATCGCAAAATATTTCTTTGGCCGCAGCAATAAATAAGAAAATATCATTTCTATAAATATTATAATATTTTCATTAATTAAGCTTTATATAATTATGTAAATTCCTCGATGAAGATAATGTATGTGTGTCTAACAAAACAGAATACAATATAGGTGTATCTCGTCAAAAGAATAAAATTCGTAACAAAGTTATTTATGATAAAAAACTCATTTGTTTCATACGCTTTAGGTGGGTTTCAACGCTGGGAACGGCACTCAGAGCTACGAATATAAGCCTTACTCTCAGGCAACCACAATCCGTGATTTAACGAGCAGAGGATGGGCGAATGGTTTTCCGGGTCGGCACATTTTCAGGATAGACGAGAAAATAATGTTGGGCACCTGTAACAAGGACATTGGTAAGAGACGCGATACCTTTAAGTAATATTGAACGAATAACGAAGTACGACTCTTTCAATGTATAATGATACACAGCCGGAGCACACCTGCCGCTGGTTTTTGCCCCGGAAAGTGGAAACATGTTGGGCGGCACCGTCGTCAACATCACAGGCCCATGCTTCAACGAGTCTCAGAAGATAAAGTGCCGTTTCGAAAACGAGGTTGTTATGGGCACAGTAATAGACAAAAATCGCGCAATTTGCGTACAACCGTTCTTAAAATACGAAGGCTACATACGTTTCTACATTGCCATCGACAGTGGAACTTACGATTGGAAAGGCAAATACTTCGTTGGTAAGATCACTCTTCTCTTATCTTGATCTCATTTTTATTCCTCGTTGAACGCGCGTCTTATTTTTTTGATCATATTATAATCATAACAACGCGCTAAATGATAAATATCTTTATCATTCATAACAAAAATTGCAATGAAATTTCTGCTTGCGCAGAAACTCCGGCTTCGGCGACAGAGAGGATCTTTTTCAGCGACAAAGAGGCCATTCACATGAAAGATCCCGCGGAAATCAGATTCACATGGAACGCGTATAATTTGACGAGTAATATAGAAGCAAAGGTGCATATATCATTGTGGGGATACAGGGAAACCAAGACAAGACCCGAATTTGAATACATAACGACTTTAGAGGTTCGTATAAATAAATACGATAGAAAAGATGAGAAACAACAATAAATTACATTACGCTGTACGTGTTTTAGAGATCATATAACAATATTGGTAAATACACCATCAAACCAGCTAAATACCGAGACGCGTACAATCCGTATCATAGCGACATGATTTTTGGCTTCATACAGATCAACTTGACGGAACCGCATTTGTACTCTGGACTCTCGATAACACCGTAAGTTTTATCCGACAAAAGTCTTCCGCTCCAGTGGCTTGAATAATATTCGAACAATTTTAATTTTATATAGGAGCTTGTGGAGCAGACCAATTCCGCTCGGTTGGTACTTTGCTCCTCAATGGGAACGGCAATATGGATCGCGGTGGCCTCAGAAACTCTGCGATAAATGGATTATGAACGACCGGTATCTTAAGAACTTCGCCGCTGAGGTAGCGCTTTGTCCTTGCATTCTGGACCACGCTCTGTACGATAAAGGCCGCTTCCTTCCGGATTACAATTGCGACAAAGATTCGAATATAGATTGCTATTACAATCAATATGCATCTCACTGCGTGAGGACAGGCGCACCTAAGTAAATAATTTATTTTTTATACTTTCAAAATAACTTATCTATCCTTCACGTAGTAACCGAAAAACCATTTTCTCTCATTTGTAATAAATTTCTAATATTTATAGTAAATCGCTGTCTGTGTATAATCAAACGCTCAAAATAATTCTGAAATTACATTCTATCTTTATTACAGCATAATTATATATTTATACTATTTCAGTTTGGACGGATCAGAACAACAATGTTGTTACGATAAAAATGGTTTTCTGATGCTGACTTACGATCAGCAATGGGGATCGCGACCGCATCGATCGCATAATTTAGGCTATTTCCCATGGAACGAGGCTAACAAGGTTCCAACTCTTTCGCACTGGTATCATGATGTCGTACCCATGTATACGTGTTGTCTCTGGCAAGAAGAACAAGCGGTCGGTTGCGAGACATTTCGATTTGAGAGAAGACCGTCGCAGGATTGCATTGCCTATCAATCACCAGGCGTGGCGACGGTATTCGGTGATCCCCACTTTGTCACGTTCGACAATGTAGAGTACACTTTCAATGGTAAAGGTGAATTCGTTTTATTACGAGTAAACGATCTTAAAGACAAACTCGATGTGCAAGGTAGATTCGAACAAATGCCCGTCAACGCTTATGGTTCAGTGATGGCAACGCATCTTACTTCGATAGCAGGTAAGCTTCTGCTGTTTTATTACGTGAACTTAAATAATTTTTGAATCTAAGTTGTAGTTTTTAATAAACTTGTATTTGTAATATTATTAATATATATTATATAAAAAAAACAGTTATAGTTATAATCACATATCTTATATGTATAGCGAGAGGAAATAACTCTGCCACCATCGAAGTTCGTTTGAGACCCACACATGCACAATGGAGATATCGGCTCGATGTCTTCGCGGATGGCCAAAGATTATATTTTGACAGGCCATCCTTGAAATTCCAACATTTCTCCGGGGTCGTTGTTTATACGCCCACATACATTCTGAATCAGAGCGAAGTCATTATCATGTTCGATACCGGTGCTGGCGTGGAAATCGTGGAAAACGAAGGTTTCTTGTCCGCACGAATATATTTACCGTGGACGTATTTGGTAAAGGAAGCTCTCATTTATAAGAAATAAATTCCATAAAATAAAAAAAAAACTTCATAAAATCATAATTAATAAATATACAAAATATCATAAAATGCCATATATCATAAAATTGTAATTAATAAATATACAAAATATCAGTATTAAATAATAATACATACTAGAGGATATCATTTTTCAATTTTAGAATAAAACCAATGGATTACTTGGAATTTGGAATTTCGATGGCACAGACGATTTGATAAGCCCACTGGGATATCAAGTCCCTATCAATAGCGTAAATCATTCGGAAACTATTCATAGAGATTTCGCAATACATTGGATGCTAGAAGATAAAGAAAACAAACTATTGGGAGCGGCTTTATTCCACAGGGAATTTGGTAGAACAGCGAGTTATTACGCTAATCGCACGTTCGAGCCGGAATATCGAAAATACCCGACGGAGATACTCCCAATAAATAGAACATATGACATAAATCGTGCGGTTGATTTGTGCGGCAATTCGTATCAATGTCAGTACGATTATGTCATGACTTTAAATCGAGATTTAGCGCATTTTACTAGAAATTATTACGATACCTTCACCCAAATCAATGCGTTAAATAAAAAGGAAAGTAAGTAAATGCGCGACAATATGTTTTCTATGAATAATTTATGTAAATCTAATTATTCTCAAACCTACATATATATACATTTTAAAAAAAGCCTAATTTATTAATCATATGAATATATATATATACAATCTTTAAGTTGTATCCTGCGGTGTACTGGAAACACCACGGTTTGGACGTAAAAGCAATTTCCTGTTTATCCCGGGGACAAAAGTGAGTTTCGAATGCAATCAGGATTTCATACTTGTCGGTGATCAACGTCGGGTGTGCACACCGGAAGGCCGATGGAACACTCCGGAGTACGGGTACACGGAATGTCTTCGTGAGTATACTTATGCTTATCAAATGCATTAATTTTCCACTGTAATCTCGTACCTGCTTAACGATTTTAAACGAGAATAAGGAATGGAATAAGATACAATGTGTATAGAGAAAGTGATGTATTAAACGGTAGCGCATTTATTGGATCATTTATAATTCAAAGCAGATCAAGTTCTTGCAATTTGTTTTAAGAGTTAAACTAAATCCAAGCTTATAATCGAACCAATAATTTCAGCAAAAGTCTATTTTTGCAAAAAAAGCGAGTTTATAAAATCGCTGAGAATTGAATCTTGTTGAATAATTTAATACGCTTTTTATGTCTCTTTTTTCTTCTCTTATCTCTATAATATTTGTCATCCAGTTTAATATTCTTCTTTTCTCTTCTTCCACCGATCATTAAATTAATGCATTTTCCCATATATGTACGCGATTGAAGCTTATTATATAAATATAGGTCGCATCGAGTACGTTCAGCGTACAGCTTGGACCGTAATGGGCATTATTAGCATCGTGTTAATTCCCGTTGTGGCATGCATCGCTGGTGGTTTTATCTATATAAGAAGGAATCAGATGCGAGGAGGTTCCACGAAATCATGGCGCTATTCTGAGCGCGGCTCTGGCACTGATAACGAATCCATGTTGAAGCAGACCGCGCCATTAAAATCATACGACGATAGGGCCATTACTCCAATTAGTGATGCTAGCACAATTGAAACTAATAGCGGCACTAGAAAACGCCGTAGTTACGACAGAGTTTATCGTACACACGAACCTTTACCTAATAGACCGTACATTGACTTCGAGGATAAAGATTTTGATCTAAAGGAGCCCATCTCACCTACGGACTCAGATTCGGGGGCAGATTCGATTAGGAAAACGGGCAGTCCCGCCAAAGAGAGTGACGTTTAGATGACGTTTGTTTCAATAGCATTGTAATAGAAATGAGATATATTCTGTTGGTAAAGTTGCTTTTAGTACGCATCATTATTTGAATGCAGTACGTATGCGTGTATGTATGCGATGTATGTATGCGATGTATGTATGATCATGACAGTGTACATCTCAATTTCAAATAACCTACATCTTGCATACATCAAATTAATATCGATTATACCTAGATTCGACATTAACTTGGCACGAGATATGGATTAAAATTTAACAAATTAGCCATAGATAAACCGCGTATTTTTACTAAATTTCAGACAGTATAATCTAAACATAATTTCATTATCATTTTCGTATCGTTCGGCGTTATTCAGTGTTTATTCGTATAGATAATAAGGATACTACTGTTCTTGCTGTGGAATAGAAATAGTTGCAGTATTAATTGTATTTAGAATACATATATGATCATTTATTGATATAATGTAATTAATACGTTTCAAAAATATTAAATAAGCGAAGATTAAATAAACATCTAATATTTAATTATACAACTACATAAACCGACCATAACTGGTTTATATAGTTGTAACAATTACATTTCTCCCGCAATTTAATTATGCCATATATTTGTGCTTTACATACTGTAAAAAGATTTATTTTAATAAACTTTTATATACATCAGTTAAATATAATGGGAAATTTCTATTCCACATGCATGTACAGAATGTTTATGATAACGAAAACGATTCACATCATTACGATGTAGCAGCAGAATTAATAGCATTAGAATGGAATGGAAATTTCCACCAGAGTTATCGTGAATTATTTCTATTAACAACTCCTTTTCTCTCTTCCTCCTCTATTTAAATATCTTTACGTTATCACAAAATCTGTTCACACAAATGTCAAATTGTTGGGCGGATTAGAATTTATCACAATAGAAATTTTTCTTGGATAGCTTGAAATAATTTATCTTAAACCTCGCAAAATTCCGCATTCAATTAATAAGATACCTTTAAACCGTAAATTGTTTTTATTTAAATAATAATTTTTTATTACCTTCAATTGTTTAGGCCAGCAAGAATACAGCTCTCGTCAGGCAGGTATTACAGCCGGCATAATATTCGCTTGTATGATTCCCATTTTGTTGGTGATTATTATATATATACAATCTTTAAGTTGTATCCTGCGGTGTACTGGAAACACCACGGTTCGGACGTAAAAGCAATTTCCTGTTTATCCCGGGGACAAAAGTGAGTTTCGAATGCAATCAGGATTTCATACTTGTCGGTGATCAACGTCGGGTGTGCACACCGGAAGGCCGATGGAACACTCCGGAGTACGGGTACACGGAATGTCTTCGTGAGTATACTTATGCTTATCAAATGCATTAATTTTCCACTGTAATCTCGTACCTGCTTAACGATTTTAAACGAGAATAAGGAATGGAATAAGATACAATGTGTATAGAGAAAGTGATGTATTAAACGGTAGCGCATTTATTGGATCATTTATAATTCAAAGCAGATCAAGTTCTTGCAATTTGTTTTAAGAGTTAAACTAAATCCAAGCTTATAATCGAACCAATAATTTCAGCAAAAGTCTATTTTTGCAAAAAAAGCGAGTTTATAAAATCGCTGAGAATTGAATCTTGTTGAATAATTTAATACGCTTTTTATGTCTCTTTTTTCTTCTCTTATCTCTATAATATTTGTCATCCAGTTTAATATTCTTCTTTTCTCTTCTTCCACCGATCATTAAATTAATGCATTTTCCCATATATGTACGCGATTGAAACTTATTATATATAGGTCGCATCGAGTACGTTCAGCGTACAGCTTGGACCGTAATGGGCATTATTAGCATCGTGTTAATTCCCGTTGTGGCATGCATCGCTGGTGGTTTTATCTATATAAGAAGGAATCAGATGCGAGGAGGTTCCACGAAATCATGGCGCTATTCTGAGCGCGGCTCTGGCACTGATAACGAATCCATGTTGAAGCAGACCGCGCCATTAAAATCATACGACGATAGGGCCATTACTCCAATTAGTGATGCTAGCACAATTGAAACTAATAGCGGCACTAGAAAACGCCGTAGTTACGACAGAGTTTATCGTACACACGAACCTTTACCTAATAGACCGTACATTGACTTCGAGGATAAAGATTTTGATCTAAAGGAGCCCATCTCACCTACGGACTCAGATTCGGGGGCAGATTCGATTAGGAAAACGGGCAGTCCCGCCAAAGAGAGTGACGTTTAGATGACGTTTGTTTCAATAGCATTGTAATAGAAATGAGATATATTCTGTTGGTAAAGTTGCTTTTAGTACGCATCATTATTTGAATGCAGTACGTATGCGTGTATGTATGCGATGTATGTATGCGATGTATGTATGATCATGACAGTGTACATCTCAATTTCAAATAACCTACATCTTGCATACATCAAATTAATATCGATTATACCTAGATTCGACATTAACTTGGCACGAGATATGGATTAAAATTTAACAAATTAGCCATAGATAAACCGCGTATTTTTACTAAATTTCAGACAGTATAATCTAAACATAATTTCATTATCATTTTCGTATCGTTCGGCGTTATTCAGTGTTTATTCGTATAGATAATAAGGATACTACTGTTCTTGCTGTGGAATAGAAATAGTTGCAGTATTAATTGTATTTAGAATACATATATGATCATTTATTGATATAATGTAATTAATACGTTTCAAAAATATTAAATAAGCGAAGATTAAATAAACATCTAATATTTAATTATACAACTACATAAACCGACCATAACTGGTTTATATAGTTGTAACAATTACATTTCTCCCGCAATTTAATTATGCCATATATTTGTGCTTTACATACTGTAAAAAGATTTATTTTAATAAACTTTTATATACATCAGTTAAATATAATGGGAAATTTCTATTCCACATGCATGTACAGAATGTTTATGATAACGAAAACGATTCACATCATTACGATGTAGCAGCAGAATTAATAGCATTAGAATGGAATGGAAATTTCCACCAGAGTTATCGTGAATTATTTCTATTAACAACTCCTTTTCTCTCTTCCTCCTCTATTTAAATATCTTTACGTTATCACAAAATCTGTTCACACAAATGTCAAATTGTTGGGCGGATTAGAATTTATCACAATAGAAATTTTTCTTGGATAGCTTGAAATAATTTATCTTAAACCTCGCAAAATTCCGCATTCAATTAATAAGATACCTTTAAACCGTAAATTGTTTTTATTTAAATAATAATTTTTTATTACCTTCAATTGTTTAGGCCAGCAAGAATACAGCTCTCGTCAGGCAGGTATTACAGCCGGCATAATATTCGCTTGTATGATTCCCATTTTGTTGGTGATTATTTGCGTCGGGTATCGAGTTCTCAAGGGGCGTAAAGATCAACGAGAACAAGACGAAATCCTAGCAAGGTATTATTATAGCGCGTTATTATCAATTACGAGATAGAAACTTTACTTTACTTAATTACAACTTTAATACGTTATATAATATCATTGTATTTCAGAACACGGCAAGCGGAACTACAACGGTTGCGAAAGATTGGCGAGGACGAGGAATCCATTCCTTACACGAGTCCAAGTAGAGCTACGGAAATCAATTAAATTTTATATTGAAATTTTAGATTTTTAGATATAGAATTTTTGTATTCGTTATTCACATCATTTCGCATTATTTACTCATAATATATCACTATCCAATATCATTTCATTCTTAAATTTATTTAATTATATTTTCACGAAAGAGTAGACGTAAAGCGACAACATACATATAAAAGACTAAAGTTTTATATATTAACAATAAGTATACAATTATATATAAGAAAAAAAAATATTATTTTTCGAGCTATATTAATATATCAAATATAAAAATAAATGGACAATTTTTTTAAAAACTTGTCAAACGAGATAGACGATATTTCCGTCGCATAAGACCCTTTCCAGAAGAAATCTATTAAAAACTGATTTACGGATTTATCCTCAGAGGCAGAGATATGGAAGCGTTCTTGTGAAACCTGAGTTATACCATCGGTAAGTTCATATGACGTTCTCGACGCAACTCTGCGCCTGGCTCGCCTCTGCCTTTGCGGTCGTTGTCATATGCGGCGCACGTAGTCGCGCGCGCGATGTCAGCTGACATCTGTCACTGGCTGTCACGTGCGCCGCACGTGACAGAGATGTGCCCGCCATCTTACGACAACGACGTCGGTACGACATTGCCGACGGCACATGTTGATAATAGTGTGAGAATTTTGGTCGCGCGGCGGTAGTTGCATTTGTGATGTACATACGTCGTTCAGGATCAGTTGACCGAAGTACTTACGTTATATACTTTTTATCTCCGCAGGAGTGTGCGTGTTGTCGTTCATAACGACTAATTGTGGCAATTTGCAACTGACTACTACTTTACTTGGCGGCAATAATAGCGGATCACGTCGGCAGCATCGAATGCCCGAGGAGCACGACGACATTCGCACACGTATCTACATCATATATAGTAATTACGACCTGTACTTTTACTTATCCGGGGACGGGCGCTGCCGGATGACAGAACGAGAGACGATAATTGAACCGGCGCTGGTACGTACTGGTAATCACATTATTACCCGCATATCATTGTGAGAGTCCTGCATCAGAGCTCTGTATTAGCAGTGGTTTAACGAGCAACAGTAAAAAACATCGGTTGTAGTGAATATTTATCTTAATTTCTAAATTTTATAAAACATTTGAATCGTTTGATCAAAATTTCAATCATCAAATTTTTGATATTCCTATTTTTTACATCTTTTATAATTCGCTATATCTTTACTAAGAACCAAAGTATTTTTGTGAATCTAATATCATTTTTTTTTAAATTGAAACACGAACGAAATACAATGCTGAATATATGCGTTTCAATGGGCTTCGCGTTTATTGCACGTTTTATATGTGTGAATAAGATTTTTCTCATTACATTTTATATGGCATTTTGGTAGTAATATTTTATGTCTGCATTATTTAAATTTAAATATTTAAATCTAAAATGTTTTAATGGGGTTAAAATCACCAAATTAATCTGCTCATTTTATAAAAAATTTTATCATTTATTGTATTATTGCAAAGTGCAAATGTGAATGGTATTTAAAACCAGCTTATGAGAGGAGCGAACTAAATTTCCGACATTTTTTGTGCCACATTAAATATACGAACATGTTACAAGTACATCAATGTCCAAGATTATAAACTGGGTCACTTATATGTACACGATTAGCAACCAGTGGTTACTCCAAAATAATACTCCAAAAAAAGCAGGACGAATTTATCCTGTATATATATCCTCTGGATTTTTCTGATTAATTCTCGCTTTAATTTTATTTGAAATTAATTTCAAGCATTTTTTGAATTATTTTACAATTACATATGCAATATTATATGATTCGGAATATCTACGTCCCTTTATTATATAAAGGCTAATAAGTATATATTTCTGTCAAAATAAATCTGTAATTTATCATTCATTGTGTGAAATTGTTTTTGGGTACTTTTGAAAGAGATAAATGCACATCCGTAAAAGTAAAATAAATTAAATAAAACAAATAATATTTGTCTTTGTACGTGCACTTGATATGTACATTTTTTGAAGATACAAAGCAAAGTGGAAATGATTTTCCCATGAAACTTCAAACAATTATAACGCGATCAAACAAAGAAGGCACATAAACAGAAAACGAAATTAGAACCGGTGACTTGAAAGTTATATTGGGCAATAGAGAATTAATATATCAAGCTTCGTTTATTTATCGCCGCTATTTACAATTAACATCTGCCTGTTAACATGTGCCGAATGCTGATGCATGAATTTCGCACTTGCCGTATAATTATTCGGAATTTCCCTACGCAAGGAATGTAACGTTTTCATTTACGATACTAATTTGCATGCATTATGATTGCGTCGCATTCATAATGTTATCTACATAACGCGAGGAAATTGGATATAACGCATTCATAAACTCGCAGGTTAAACGTGATCTATTGACTTTCATCATACAATAGATATCAGGCGAGTCGAATGAACGAGGTTTGTATCTATTGCAATATTTTATTCTGTATATACATTTACATATATATATCGTTATATTATTAAACGCTATCAACTTTTGTAAAATGATAATAAATGCGTTATTCTTGCAAACTTTCTGTTGCTTGAATGCTTTATCTAATTAGTGCATCTTTGAAATTATCTATAATCAAATGAAATTAGATTTAAGCCTTTCTCTCTCACACACATACAAGCATGAAAGAAAATATTTTTCCTCTATTGGTAAGGTATAGAATTACATGAATTTTAAAAACATTGCTACGGGGAAAAACCACGAGTGAATTAATTTTCCTTCCTTTCATATATTTCAGCGTGCATCTAGTCTAATTTGTTAAGACATCATATCACGAATTGGGAAATATGTACGACATATTACAATGGCTCGATCATGGCTAGGATGTCTGTTCGGCATTTTAATTCCATCCGTTGTCTTTTATTGGTACCTGTTATTAAATGGTAAAACTGTGTGTGACGTTATTATCGATCTTTTTTTTTATCATTGAGAACATTAGGATGTTATTTCTAGTCCCCTCCGCGGAGATAGGGAAATCAAACATTGGAGGAAATTGGCGGTCGTTGTCGGTAGAAGTGGAGAGATCGAATTTACGGGAAAATCATTCTCTCGAACGATCGCAATTGATAAATAATTTCGAGGTATGTTTGTGTAAACTTTATTTTCATCAGCATACCGACGAATTGATATTCTATATTTTCAAGGTGAAATGCGATACGATACACGTAGCTATGGTGTGCGCCGGTTACAATTCAACCTTTGCTCTCGTAACCGTGGTGAAGTCTATTTTATTTTATCGTACGAATCCGTTGCATTTTCATTTGCTCGTCGACGAAATTGCGAGGAGAACACTTTCAACTCTATTCCAAACGTGGGATTTGCCACATGGTTTGTACGCTTTTACGACAGGACGTGCATCTCTTTGTAACGCATACGGAAGCAGAGAAACCTAATTTTTATCTATGTCTGTGCGTTAACATAGCGCAGAGAGTACGATATATATATATATA